ATAGAATGCAATCCCTTGTGGATGAGGAAAAGAGAAATTCAGAACTGTCTTAGCATTAAATGCTTTTGATGGTACAGCATTAGAATGCTGGTGTTGGCAGGGCAGGACTTACCCTTCACTTTTATAACAGGAGTGTCTCTTTGGACCCACACAGCTTCTGCTGCAGTGTGGTTCCAGAAGCTGCTGCTTTGACTTAATACAGTGTGGGTTTTGTTTTACAGAAGGTTTATAAGCAGCAACCCAATAGCAACATATTCTTCCTTGCAGACCGGACAGAAATGCTGTCTCAGTGCAAAAGTAAGTTTGCAATGTAAAAGTATCTCAAATAGTTAATGTTTAAAAGCTGTATTTGTAGCTGATTTCAAAGGTATATTAAAATGAGAAAATTGCAGTGTGTGTCTAATACAAAGTAATAGGAGAATGGATAATAGAGGTGATGATGGAACAAGCATTAAAAGAGTATAAATTCAGAAGTACAAATTTAATTTTCTGGAGTGAACAATTGCTACTTCTCTTTGATTTGGGTTAATAGTGTTGCCATTTTAATTGTCAGTTTCCTTTTCTTACTACAGATGTTGAAGCCATACTGATTATATAGGCAGGAGTTGGCCATTCCCCTATTGCACTGCAGCTTTCTTTGGAAAAAAAGTTATCCTCTTTGTATAATTAAAGAGGAATATGCTACAGCAAGCTTATATAGCTTGTGTTAGTAATGATGAAACACAAACATAGCACTTTGCTTAATTAGTGTTTTATGTTTATCACTTTAATTGAACAATTGGCTGGAATTACTAATTTTGTAGATATACTCTTAAACTTACCTATGCATAAACTTTCCTGTTTATGAAACTGATAATTTCTGTAATTTTCTCTTACACAGATACCTTAGATGAATTAAAGAAGGCACATCAGGAGCTGGAAAATTCAGAAAAGGCTAAAATCAAGAAGTAGTTCATGTGAATCCCCCTTGCAATGTGTGGTATTTGCTGTGTTGTTACCTTGGGCAGCCAGGCTGCGATTCATGATTTCCTCAGTGAAGACACCCTCTGCCGTCTGAGAAGAAGAGGACCAGACAGTAGCCAACAGTTGATAAAAACTGTGTCTGATCTCTCTTATGAATGTCTGTTTTCAGGCCATGTACTTCACTTGAGGGGACTGGTGACTCCTCAGCCTCTGGAAGATGCCAATAACAATGTTTTTCTTTGGAATGGAGAAATTTTCAGTGGAGTGCATGTAGGAAATCTAGAGAATGATACTGAAGTAATGTTTCGTCATCTGGCTTTATGCAGCAGTGAAATGGACATTTTGTCACTCTTCTCATCACTTCAGGGTCCCTGGTCTTTTATTTATTATGAAGCAGCCAGACACAGTTTATGGTTTGGCAGAGATTACTTTGGTCGTCGTAGTTTGCTTTGGCAGTTCAGTAATGAGGCTGACAGCGCTTTCTGTCTCACATCTGTAAGTGGTTGTTCTGAATCAGGCAACCAATGGCAAGAAGTTCCAGCATCTGGAATTTTCAAAATTGATCTCAAAGCTTGTGCAACAATTAAATCTTTGTCTTTTACATTGTTTCCATGGAAGTACAGCTGCAGAGAGAAAGCAGTAGAAGAAACGTGCGTTAATGTTCTTGACCAAGTGTCAAAAGACTTACCAAACCACGTACATCTCGTGGTGAATGAATCAAAGCTGTGTCTTAGAGCACCAGTTACCCCCTTAAATAAAACAGTTTCTAAAGCTTCAGGTGCATGTCCAGGCTCTAATTCTGGCAACATTAACTGTGTGGTGTCTGTAGAAACCCTTCAAAAATTTCTTGCAGAGGAACACAAGAAAAAATTAGCCTGTCAATTTATTGATGTTTTAAATGAAGCAGTCAAGAGACGAGTCGTGTGTCTCTTTAGAGACCCAGGTCAGGAAACAAGAGAAGTTGCAAGCATGTCTCATAAGAAAGCACACGTTGCAGTGCTCTTTTCTGGTGGCATTGATTCTATGGTTATTGCAGCCCTGGCTGATAAACATGTGCCTTTGGAGGAGCCAATTGATCTTCTCAATGTAGCTTTCATGATGAAAGAGCAAGCTAAGCACAGGGGCACCTCTAAAAGACATACCAGCCATGAAGTACAGCTTGATTTGCTTTGTCCTCAGGAAAGCTGTCAAGATCTTGATGCTGACACTGGTACTCATTTATCTTGCTATGATGTTCCTGACAGAATCACTGGTAGGGCAGGACTGAAGGAATTAGAAGCCATTAACCCTTCAAGAACCTGGAACTTTGTGGAAATTAATGTTACACTAGAGGAATTGAAGAAAATGAGAAAACAACGTATTAATTACTTAATCTATCCACTGGACACTGTCTTGGATGACAGTATTGGCTGTGCAATTTGGTTTGCTTCCAGAGGAGAGGGTTTCATTAGTAACCAAGGAGAACTGAAATCATATAAAAGTCCTGCAAAGGTAGTGGTTTGTTTTGTTTTGTATTCTGCCTTATGTTTGAATGTAAAAACAGTTTTGGTGATTCAGAAGTCAGCTTGGATCTTTGCTTCTGAAATTCAGTGTCAGAATGTAGAATATTCAATAATTATAATATTTGTGTAATTCTAGAGTTTAAAATCATATTTAGTTCTTTTGTCATGTAAAGTGCATGGATTTTCAGTGAACTTGGATATGCAATATGTGTAGGAAAAACACAACCACCATCTATCATTTTTGATTCTGATTTCTCACTTCTCTGCTCTTGATGGTTTGTGCAGGGAAGAAGGACCTGTTTAATTTCAGCTGTTGAAGGCACAGTAATGGGCCAGATGTAATAGTGTCTTTTCTGCTGATAAAACATTTTACTGTAGTTACTGAGTAGTGTAAGCCATTTTTACTTTGTGTAATGTAGTTGTTACTAACCCAGTAGCTGGTAAATGAATAATACACTGGGTGAACATTCAGGTAACTACAACAGATGACATAATCCTTTGGCAGTAATTTTTAAAGGCTGGTGTTTAATAAATGCCTTTTATTATCACAGAAACGAACAAAGACATTCTTCAAATATACTGGTGTATTTGTGATATATATGGCATAATTTTGATGTTTTTTCCTTGTTCCACTAGCAATGTTTGTGTGTGCTTTAAGGTCTGATCATGAACATAATTCAAGTTACCAGTGACTTTACTCAGAATTGTTTCAGGCTTTGTAAATGTGTAAGGCACAGCCCATCCTGATAGGTAATATCTTCAGAAGATGTTTATTGAAATTTTCCTCCTTAAGATGTAGTTAAACATTTAACATTTAACATTTAGTTATGTATTAACTTGCATTAGATACTAAGATTTCTTATATTCTTTTTCCTCAGGTTGTGCTTATGGGAATTGGAGCAGATGAGCAGCTTGCTGGGTATTCTCGACATCGTGTTTGTTTCAGAAAAGATGGCTTAGAGGGTCTTAATAAAGAACTTGAAATGGAGTTAGGTCGCATTTCTTCTCGAAATCTTGGTAGAGATGACAGGATCATCGGTGATCATGGAAAAGAAGCCAGGTATTACTGTTCTAGCATGGAGCAAAACTGGTTTTGCTGGTTAGATGCAGTTTTTAACACCCCTAACAAAATCTTAATTGAAACTTTCGTGTGTTTTATTGTCTCTAGTTCTCCTGCAGTTCTGTTAATGTATACTGTGTGTGCAGGTTTTTGTTTTGTTTTTTAAAAAAGTGGACAGTATTATACTGTGGAAGGGTTTACTTAAGGAAATTTAGCAACTTGATTTCCATCTAGAAGTTTTAAGAACCAGCAACAGATGTTGAAATAGGCAAATTCAAGCTGGTTTCATCATTTTAACCTAAACAGCCTTTCGTTCAGCTTTGAAGTGTTCTGGTGTGGACCTTTAGGGAGTGTCTCTGGAGAATGACAGTGTAACAGAAGCTGTGCATTCCTATCCATGCAGTAAAGGCATAGTCAATATCCACCACATTTCCTGGCTGTTAAGTCTGAAGAGCTGAAGAATCATTTTATTTGTGTCTACTTCCTGCATGCTACCATCAACTTGGAAAAACTTCCTTAGGTGGTGTGCAGGAGTAAAGGCCGCTCAGGTGCATGAAAGGTTTTTTCATGTGATCTTTCTGCCAGTGTTTTTCCAAATCTGTTATTAGTTGCACATTTTCAGTTCAGCACAAGAACAGTTACAGTGGTAGATATGCAGTGCTCTTAACCATGCACATGATTAGGTATGAACGCCTCAAATTCAGAATAATGCCAGCATTTGTTGTGTAAATCTGTTTGTTTCAAAGTTACAGTGTAGTTTCACACCATCTTTGCATGTGGTAGAGTGGAAAACTAAGACTAGTCCTATGGAATTTTTAAAGGGTCTTTCCCCATGTAAATCTCTCTTTCAGATTTCCTTTTCTTGATGAAGATGTTGTTTCATTCCTCAGTTCTCTTCCCGTCTCGGAAAAAGTTGACTTGACTTTACCTCGAGGAATTGGGGAGAAACTGATTCTGCGCCTTGCAGCCAAGGAGCTGGGCCTGACAGCCTCGACTGTTTTGCCAAAAAGGGCAGTACAGTTTGGATCTCGGATTGCAAAACTAGAGAGCAACAGTGAAAAAGCATCTGACACATGCAGCAGACTGAAGTTACTTTCAGTAGATGAATTATAGAGCTGTATCTTGAGATGTTGCACTTAACTCTATACATAGTAAATCTTTCGAGTTTTCATAGAATGTTTGGGGTTTTTTACACAGTTGGACATAATTTATTAATAATCAGAGTTGTACATGTGTATGTGTACGAGGAACTCACTATGAATGCATCCTGCGCTTTTAAGTTTTTTTCTTTTAATACTGAGAATGCTTAGTTTGGAATAGTAGCTGGAATCACTTTGCTGATAGCAACACAGCATTTGTTTCTCTGACAGGTGATTTTCAACATTTGTAATCCAAGTATTGTCACTAAACATAATAGCATTGAAACAGTTTTCATTGAACAATTTATAGTTGCATTTATTTTATTAAGTTAATTTTTAAGATGCCAACCATCGTATCTTTTTTAATTTTGGCACCTTGATGGACTCTGCTTCAACTCTTTTTGAAATATCAATTCCCAGGGGAGCTCTAGAAAACAAAATTACATATTTGTTAAAAATTAGCATCGTCTTTGCCGTATCACACAGATGTACAGCTTCACAGACCTCTTTTACAATTAGCATGAGAGTCAAAGTACTTTGATACATTCCCTGCACTTCTAAGACTGTGACCATTAAAAGAGCCTGAAGCTGTACCTGGAAACATCTTTACAGTGGGGAAATATTGGCGTTTGTAGCCATTCCAAACTCAGAAACACACTTGTGATTTCAAAGCCAGCTTCTGGGTCTGTTGTTTTCTTTAGATTCTGATTTTAGTTGATAATTCATTTCATGTCTTGCTGATGAATGCAAAACACACTAGAGATTCGCAGGTATGCCCTATTATAATCTGAAATAACGTATTGTCAGCATTAAAACTTAAGTTTTTTATTCACTGAAATGTATACAGCAAATTATTTTTTAAGTAGAGTATTTTTTAATTTTTCATGTGAAAACTGTAATGCAATTTTTTTAAATTGAGACCATCTAAGTCTGTTTATCTGAAAAAGGGGAAATAAAGCTGAAAAAAAATGCAGTTTAAGACCAGCAGGTACTTTTGAAATATCCACACTTTGTTTGGCTTTGAGCCTAACATCTACACAATTACATAGAACTGTTATGATGTATGGTAAATTAAGTTTCTGAGCCAAAACGAACATAACTGCCAGCCACAATGATTTGTATTTAAAACTGCCTGGGAAAGTAACTTTTTAAAAAAAATTTATACTTGCTGCAGAGAGATTCTGCAGCAGCTTCTGCCTCTTTTTTCATGAGACCTCTTCCCCTCTCACTGCCCACAGTGAGCAGTGAGGAAGGAGACTGGGAATGACCAGTCACTTACCTTGGCTCGTAGCGGATGCCAGCAGCACTGTGTAGCACCCCCAGTCCTGCACGTAACCTTTCAATGCCATTCCTGAGCAACAAAGCAATTACATAAAAATCTATGTCACAACTCTGCACAACGAGCAGATCGTTCAGTCAGCACTAAAAGAGCTTCTTGACTCTCATGTCAACTTTGCATATGCTCCTGTAATGTTGTCTAAAGAGAAACAACTCTTACCATGCAATCATAACACCATTATCAGTGCAGAGTCTTGGAGGAGGACACAGTAAAGCAAAATCATTTGCATGTGCCAGATTCTGTAGACCTTTTCGGATATACTGATTACTTGCAACTCCTCCTGATACAACCTGACAGCATTTCAAAAAGAAAAAAAGGCATTAACTCAAAAGTACTGATGGGTCACACACAACTAACATCACATTTAAAAAAGGATTATCGGTTGAAATTCTAAAGATAGCAATAAATGCTGCATTTGAAGATTAAAACATACCAGAAAAGAGTCTGCTAAGTGAGCTTATTATGCAAAAAGATATTCCTGAAGCACGTCAGTCTTATGGAAGGTGTCCCTGCCCATGGCAGAAGGGTTGGAACTGGTTGATCTTTAAAGTCCTTTCCAAGCTAAACCAGTCTAAGGTTCTACTGTAATTAGAACAGCCATCAAGTATTGGGAAGCACGAGGTCAAGCTGTTATGGGAGGTTAGATGAGATGGTAAGAAAATCTCTCTCTAGCTTAAAACCTAGGTAAATATTTATATGACTATTACTTCAATATTTTGGTATTTTAACAATACAATACATACTGAGATCTTCCTCATATGTCAAGGCAGAAAGTACAATAAGGCATCTGCATCTTCAAATGATGTTAGAGAGTCAGATATAAAAAGGAAAAACAAAGTATACCCACCAAAGTGGCATTTTTTGATGGTAATATGCTGTTTTTGATGCAGAAGAGCATGGCTCGGTACGTCTTCTGGATAATATGAACAGTCACTGCATGCTGTACAGCAGCAGCAACATCGTTAACACAGGACAGGATCTCACCTTCCTGAATACCTATAAAAGTATATCATCAAAGGGGGCTCCTGAGTGTAGGTCATCAAAAGCTCAGTTTGTATCTGACTGCCTCAAAATACCTTCTTCTTTTTCTTTCTGTGCAATGGCATTATTGACAAGGTTTTGAAGTCCGGAGAAAGAGAAGTTGCAGTTGCGATACTGCTGCATGGGCAGTGGGAAGGTGAGCAGTTCCTGGTTCCCAGTCTGAGCCAGGTGCTCTATGGCCTTCCCCCCAGCCATGCTGTGGCACTCTGGGTGCTTTCTGAGAGACAGTCTTCGTGCCACCTAAGGAGATGACAAACAACAGATCTGGAATCAGTTCCTCCTGAACAGCATCACTACTGTAGTCCATGGAGTAAAATGTGACACCAAAAAATCCAATCCAATGTGAAATTACAAACAGGGCATGGTAAGGGTAAGACATAACACCAGCCCATCAGGACTTTTTTTTTCTTGGAGCATTCTTTAGAAATACAATTCTAGAACAATCTGGGCAAACATAAAGATCAACAAATTTTGCAGAAATATTAATTACTCCATTTTTAAGCTATAGGAAACACACATGGACTGCCATATTATATAACCAGATACACAGGAACAAAGTTGGTTTTAACTTTTGAAGATCCCCTTTCTGACTCCTGCATTCCCCCAATTTTTAATTAATATGCACAAATACTGTTTAAAAATAGTGTCTGACAACAAAGCCGTAAGTGACCAATTTTACAGACTACTCAGGGACCCAGAAAACTTAAGATTTTGAAGGCCAAACCATGCTTTTCAAACTAAAAACTAAAATTAGTAAGAAATGTTTTAACATGCATTGTTTTAAACCTGAGAGCATAATAATACCTCTGTAAAATACCTCTAAATCTCTAATTAATACAACTTCTTTGTGTAATCAGTGTCAATGAAACATCTAACACCAGTTTTGGTTACGTTGCCTATTTGCTAAAGTGTAATTAATGTACATACGTTACGATTGATGTTTTGTGTATATTTTTAACAGTCTTTCGTATCTTAATCTATGGCATTTCAAAACTGAAAAAAAAAGTTACATGAAACTTGTATTGCATTGAACTGCTGTCCTGAGGCTGATGGTGATACTACCACTATGTAGTATAAATGCAATAAAAAGAAGAGAACTACTAAGGAAAGGTAAGGAAAGGGAATATGACCTTATCCAGCATGTCACCCGGTGCGATATCCATGGACTGTCCAAGCAGGAGGAAATCTGAAACTCCTTGTGCTACTGCCAAGAGACAGTGGCCTCCAGAGATCAGGAGAACTAAGAAGGGAAATTCCAGGTGATGTGTGAGCCTGATGGTCAGTGCGTGAGCCTCCATGTGATGGATGGGGATGAAGGGCTTCTGGTGCCTGCTGACCAAGCTCAGGCTGTACTGCAGCCCCACGCCCAGGCTCAGAGCGAGCCCGGGCTTCACTGTGGTTGCCACAGCCGCAAGCTCAGCCACAGAAACGCCGCTGGCACGAAGGGCCTCTTGAACCACTTGGTCGATGTTTTCTCTGTGAAGCTGCTGTGCCACCACGGGAATTATTCCTCCTGTTCTAGTAAAAGCAAGGAATTACAATGCATTGGTAGTTCAGAGCAGATAGATTGCCATAAAAATAGTTTCCAGGCACCTCTTAACCTTGTTGTATCCTGCCTGTTTCCTTAGTGCATTCTCTAATGCCTTGTTTAGTGTCAAGGGCACTGAAGAGAGCGTAATTATAGTGAAGGCCAGAAAAGGATGTAACTTGCCCTTTTTTGGTACAGATGCTTTTTAAATGTATCTCAACACTGTTTCAAAACAATGCAACTTAATATTTACAACCCCTCACTTGTCAGCTCGTGTTCTTAACCACCAATGCTTATATTTGATTCATTTTACCTTTAAAAAGTCAAGACATTTGGTGATTTTAACAATAGCAATTATTTCATCTTTTATTCAAACTAGAGAAGTAATCTGCCTCTATTTGAAAGAAAATACTGGAGGGATGGCATGGCATTTCTTCCCTCCCCCTTAGTACTATCTCAGGCAGTATGTGTTGTGGCCCCAGCGATACACCTTCACACTTACCCACCATTTACTGAGTTTTATGGGGCAGGGAAGACTTTTATATTGATGATAAGTAACAATAACCATGTTATTAAGACAGAAGCCCTGAGAAAAGTCTGTTCTTACTGTAAATGAACTTCCTTCTGACAGTGCAGTGCTTCTCCCAGAACACAGCCAGCTTCATCCACCACAGCAGCGCCGGTGTCGTCACAGCTCGTCTCTATTCCCAAAACCAGCCTGCGAAAATGCTGCTTTCCAGAGTAAGCAGAGCTGTTCCTCAGCCACGCAGCTCGGCCGTGCTTAACTGACTGCAAAACGCTTCTGGCAATGCTCTTCATTGTTCATAATCTACCTGGTGGTTATGTCTAGAAGAGAACTGTATAGTTTATTATTAATTGAGGGTTTTCAAGCACGTGTTCTGCTCAGATTTTCTGAGGAGTTTTTAAAGTCATGAATGGCTACACACGACATTTAAGACCCTAAGAAAAAACAGCTGGGAAGTAACGTCTTGTTTTACCTGAATTACGTGTGAAGAGAGTTCCTCACCACGCTCGCAGCCCTACGGGAGGTCACAGCCGCGGGCGAGCGCTGCTGTGCGGGCAGGGCAAGGCAAGTCCGGCCGCTCCGCCGCTTCACGGGCTCGGCCCCATCCCCGCGGATCCTCGTCCCGCCCCGGGCAGGAGGAGCGGCGGCCGGAACCCCCCGGTCCGCCCCGCCTCTCCCGGGTGGCGGCGCGCTGGCGCCGTCCCCGTGTGGCGGTGTGTCCCCGCCCCGCTGCCGGGACACGGGGCGGCGCTCGGGCGGGCGCAGCCGCCGTGCGGGACAGCGGAGAGCACTCGTGTCCAGCCCTCCGCAGGCTGAGCACTGTGTGCGGACTGCCCGAGGCACCCCGAGACCTGCGGACACCAAACTCGGGCCGTGCCCTGCAGTCCCTGCCCCTCGGCAGCGCAGCCTTGTGATGGCCATTATTTAAAAATCAGCCAGTTAATACCTTCTGTGCAAGCAACACCCACAACTAATTACTTCCAATTGCTCGTTGCCCTTTTTTAAACAGCGTCTTTATCGATAAAGTCAATAGCCAGAAAATTACTGTAGGGAAAAAAAAAATAAGTACACCACTTTAGGCTTGTCTTTTTATATTTTTAATTTTCTTTTCCAGCTCACTGGCTGTCACTGCAACCAAAATCAAGTCTTAAATGGAGTCTTCTGTTAAATCTGAGGTGGTTTTGGCTGGCAAACACACAGCAGACTTCAGAATTCATCCTTTTTCCACGATACAGAAATAAGTGCTCAGAGCAGTAGATGTACCTCCTTCAGTCTAATTCCAGAGCTGATAATATACAAGATTACCCCGTACTACACAGTACCCCTAAAACACAGCATTCCTCCACATTTCCAAGACATGCAAGTTATCTATACTTTTTCCTGCAAAAGCATAGTTAGTCCATGTGATTTGCCTACTCACCTACTTCTAGTTCAGCTTCTATTCTAGCTTACAACCTACACAGCTTCCCTTACGTGTTCTGACACTTGCTCTGTAACAGAGCAGCTTCTCCTACAACAGCAGCAACCCTCTCCCCCCCACCTCACAGGCTTCTCAGCTACTGAAAAATAACCCATCAGTGAATATCAGATAAAACAGTCAAAAATCCACACCCAAAAAGAAATTGCAATTGTTCAGGATGTCCCATTTACACACAGAAAAGTCAGTATCCTGGTAAGCAAAATGAAATGAACACAACAGTGGCAATTTGTAAAAGCTTACATAAACGGAGCTATAGAATTGATGTGGAAATCCCCTGAGCTGGCAGTTAAGGACTTTGTTCAGTCATTGTGACAAAAAATAAATTTTAAAAAAATCACAAGAACAGAGAAGGCAGGAATTATACCATCAATTTATGCTCGCTGTCACAGTACTTACTGTGGGACAAACTTTTACAATGCAAAAACAAGTACAACCACTTATAATCCATTACAGCAGAAACTACCTAATTTCTCTTAATCTAAAAATGTGGCCTCACCAGTCCTTGGCATCGAGGATTCTGGATTTATATGTGAAGTTACCACCTGCATAATGGATGATGGGTATTTGTGAAACACTGCTCTCCATTTCAGCTGTTAACTTGCACCTTCCTTACAAGCCACTTGCATCAGCCACATGTGCAGTCTTAGTGGGGATTAGGTTTTAGAGCTGGGCCTGCACAGTTCTTCATGTCAACCTTTCTTCTGCACCTTTCCAATCCACATTGAAGTATCTGATGGCATCTTCTTATAAAGTTGATTTTCATCCCAGACAATGCTGCAGGAAGCAGGAATTGTATCTCAGACGTAAAAGCATCTCTCCCTGACTACGATGAGATACTCAGCACAGCAGACTACTCGTTTCTTTCACCCGGGGAGCAGCAGTAGCCATGTCAGGGGCAGCCAGTGTTGAACCTTCTGCTTAATATTTATTGATGCCAAAGATTCGAACCCCATGCAGCTGTGGCAGCTTGGGGATAAGCACGGTCAGGAGAGAGGCTGTGTTGAGGATAAAGTGTGTTGGATCATACTTTGTATAGAAACTGGTCAGGAAGTACCTGCAGGAGAAAAGGGAGCAAGCTTAGCTGATGGCAGCCTTGTCTAAAACACATACAAAGCAAAGTTTTAATACGTGCTTTAGTGATTAGTAAGATTTTACTGGTTAACATCTATATCTGTATTAAATATCTCACCTGAGGTTCTAGAGTATCTACAGCAAAATTATGGTCTAAGTCTCTTCTTCCCATATCTCTCAAGGTGCTTAACTCTCAGTCTACTGTTTTCTTCCAGCACTTCTCCCCACCTTGAGGAGTTATATATATTTTCTCAGCTTCTGTCCTTTATCAGCCAACTTTCTAAACATCATGCAGGATCTTCCCTCCCCTCTCACTCTGCCACGTAAGTGGACATGTAAATTTTCTTCAGGGACAAACAGAAAGGCTTTTAGAGTCGGATATTAAGTATGTATCTGATTTTTCTTAGTTGCACAACCACACTTTTGTCAACAGAGACAGGTGCATAGAATTCCTAAGCCATTTGCATAGTGTAGAAAGAAAACAATATGTACAAAGCAAAACTGACACCAGATCCCATTCACTGAGGACTGACACACTTCTAGTTCACAAGTTGCAAAATGGTTAATAAATGCTGTCACAAAAGCAACTGGTTTATATTTGCAATATTTATGACTTCACAATCTCTTAAAGAACTTCAAGAGTTAACACTAAGTTTTCCTTACAACATTTCTAATCTTTAAAACCTGCCCCATTAATAACTGTTTACAAACTTTGATTTCAGTATGTGGAATGTCAAAAGCAGAAGAGACTGTTGATTACATAGCCTGTAAATAAATACTCCCTATAGCTGTGATGTAGAAATAAACAAACAAATAAGAAAAAAAGACAGAAAATGCTTTTAGACTGTAAATTGCAACCCATTATGTCGCAGCTTTTTAAATCATGGTTTTACGTGCCAATTGATCTGTAACACATTTTTGAACTCACAGAATTATAGGAGAGATTGTGAAGAACTTCCTTGAAGATGTGAATTGTACTCCATAATCCAGTTGTTCCCAGTGTGTTAGTAGCCTAGCTTTTCCCTGATCAGGTGTTTCAAAAGGAGTTCCCTTTACTGCATGCAAAAACACATACATTCCCTGGGGAAATAAAAAGTGAATACAGAGGCACTTTTAGTAATATTTTTAAGTAATTGTTAAGTTGTTCAATGCATTATAAAATTGAAAAAAAAAAAAAGGAGAGAGAAAGTGAGTAAATTCTCACTCAAAAGAGCTACTAGCCTGTAATGACAAATTATTGAAGAGGAAGGAAGAGACAAGAAGTGATTTGCCTGAGAGTGTGCAGAATCAGAATTAAAGCCCAAGTCTGTGTGATATCCAATCCACTCCCTTGCCTTCTACACTAGTAGGCAAAATTCCATGAATTCAACAGAAGTTTAACAAGCACTGTAACAAGTGTGGGGCTGCTGATTTGTATCACCACTTTCCTAGCACAGTGTTAACAAGTGATGAGTAGAGTGTCATAAAGCAAAAATCTACCTACAAACACTGGCAATATCACATCAACTCCTGAAAGCTTTCTCAGCCCTTTACCAGCTTCAAATTCTTAGAAACTGACTAAGCATTCTGCTCAATACCATCTGTCCACCTCTTTGCTGCTTCTCCTTGAACACGTGAGCTTTCATTGTGACTGTTCATGTTTGATGGGTACATGCCATGTCTGGCTTGTTCTGAAAGACCAATTTGGGCCTCTTGGTTTCAAAGCAAGGAGAGTACACCCTCTCCCAGTTTTAAAAAACATTTGTTTTCTATCACACCAACTCCAAGGAAGAGTCTCTATGAGACAATATCAAAAATTTTAATAGAAAGCTTTATAAAGAAAAAAACCCCTACATTTCTTCCAAATTCTTAAAATGGAGGTGAAATCTCAGCAAATCACTTCATGTCTCCTTCCACCTTTTTTTGGAACAGACTCCAGACCAGAGCCCTGTGAACTTAGGACAATTGATTTGTTTAATTAATTTTTTGATTCATGACGTTTGCAGTGCCTCAGGTTTAATAACCATAAAGACACTTTTAGTTTAGGATGGATCCAAATGCTTACTCCACATTTTATTTCCCAGTGGTACTTGCAGAAAGAACCACCAAAAATGCTTTCAAGGTTAGCTAAGAGATTTCCATTAGTGGAAATCCAAGATTCTTTTTTTATTTTTGTCAAACCATTTGTGGATGTGTTTCCAAAAGAACTGCCATTTAAATTCTGAAATATCCAACAGCGCAATTTATACTCATCTTCTAGTGTTTCACTACAAAACTACTTGCCAGTGCATGCTCTCATCCCTGTTGTCATTACAGCTACTTGCAATGAGTTCAGTAAGGCATGTGGGAAATATTTAGTAATACTTGTCTCTGCCAACATCTTCTGAAGTCAGACATGTCTGATGCTGTCAAAGATAACACACAAAACGCTCTAATGACAGTTACAATTCCACCAGTAGTTTTAAACCTACTGACAAAACCAAAAAGCTCAAATAAAAAAAAATTAAAACTTTACATTCAAGAGGATATTACCCATCCTTACTGCACTATCGTTTTCCTAAATAAGGAAAGAGCTATCTTATTGCCAAGTCTTCTTTGCAGGTAATGTTAGAAAACTGAGCTAGCAAACCACAAGTATGAAGTAAATTGCTGGGTTATGGCCCTCTTTTCTCTAAGCATGGCAGAAATTATATAGATAGCTGCACTACTTTAAGTGATTACAAGAAAATGATAGCATCCTGGGGAGAGGAGTAGAAAGCAGCTCACAAAATCTTCTGCATACAAAAGTATCATGCAAATCACAACTCTCTGAATAACAAATGGTTTCAGGGCCGGGGTCAAAGTAGTTCAGTTTTTCCCACTGCTTTCAAGCTAGATTTCTCTAATGTCATGTATGGTGACAACATTGTATGCTGAAGTCATTCTGAGTTATGTAGCTTGGCCAGAAATCAAAATTAAGAAAAAGAATACAAGCATTTCTCTTAAAGAAAATAGGTAAGGTACTAAAATTAAACATTTTGGGATATTAACAGATTTATGTGGAAAAATTAGTAGATA